TCTGTCCCCTACAAAGACATACTTCCTGGAAAGCCTGGGGGACTGCACTATGTACTATATGGATACCTGCACTGCCATTGTGGTTTCTGAGCATGTGGTTGTAGCGCACTCATGGCACCAGTCAGGAAAGATGGGGAACTGTTTACCCAGCTGACGAAAGAGGAGGAGAAAACAGCTGGGTGAAAAAAGGCACAGAGCACTATTATTTCAACCCCTGCATATAACAAACACTGAACATTCAGGGCTGTATGGTGGTAAACTCAACTCTGCATTTGTTACAGCCCATGTTTAGCTATCTATAAACACATTTTGTGCAGAATCCCCTTCCAGAGATCTACAAGTTTGTGATTTGCAAGGAATTTGTTTTCTGCATCTTTCTGTATTAAACATTTGCTTCTATTTATACTCCTTGTTTTGCTGACTAATGCCAAGATCTACCTCCTTTGCAGACTTCAAAGCAGACTCCAAATTTCACAAGCTCCTTATGCTCTATTTATTAATTCCTCTAGCTACGAAGACATTTAACCAAGTAACATATTGTTATCATTATCTGTGTGCACGCATCTGTATCCTATATAAAGAAGAGAAAACAGGACAGAGTGGGGCTTTCCGCATTAGGGTCGTTGGTCCACTCGTACAGAAACGACCACTCCAATCTGTTTACGTATTTCAATCCTGCTGGTTGAAATGCTGTATTTTCCTCACTTGTTTTCGATCCATTTTTAAAAAATTGAGCTCATCTCCCCCCAAATGCAGTTCAACTGACATCTCACCATACTGGATCAGCATTCTCAGACGAGAGGAAAGAGTGACGAAGGAGCCCTACCCATAACCGAGGCTTTGTCCACACTTACCTGCCTCTGGTGGCAGAAGCTGCAGCAGTAGATAGGAGCTACCACCAGGAAGCTGTGGGAGGAACGTCTCCAAGTACCTTCTGCTTCCCAGGGGGCTGCAGCAGGCTCCTTACTCCATTGGTGGGGGGCGAGTAATTTTGCTGACGGAAGTAGGTTTCTTCTGGTGCAGAGGAGCTTTGGGGGCGGGGGCCGTCTGAATAGCATTGCTGGCAGAACTGGATCAGAGATTAGGCTGCACAAGCAAGCTAGCATGCTAAGAACCATGAACTTAAACAAACCTCAGAAAAGTACTGCCCTCTCTCAGACTCTCCTCTTACTAAGAGTCACACAAACCAAAGGCAAGGCATCACTCAGTACAGAACCAGCAATCACTGCTTGGTAAGAGAGATCAGGAGAAACCAAGTGGTTTTCAAACCCAACCAGGAACGACTGCCCAGCTAGTGAGACGGAGGAGCCACTAAAAGTGAAAGATACTCAGGTTTTCAAAACAAGAAAAAAAATATGTGAAAAAATGTTATTAAAATTCCCTCCAACCTTGCTCTTGCTAAAAACTATGAAGGAAAACTAAACATCAATGTAGGAGGAGGGAGAGAGAAACCAGAAACAGACCCAGTCTGTGGGCCACTTGCCATCATTTAGTGCCATATGACACATGGCATAGAAGCGTATGGTAAAGACCTGCCACGAGCAGACAACTTTGGATCCTCTGTCCTGCCAATGAACTGAATCAATTATGGGATCTCTTAGCAATCCCTTTACATCAGTTAACTGGTGACCTCAGAGCAGACCGATCTGGCATACGGGAGCAAGTCTAGTGACTACATACTGTTCTTGTTCAATATTGCAAGATACAGAACTAGAGGAATACGAAACTAAACTGGAATTTAATTAGCTACAGCACGAAGACACTGGCTCTTTGTAGGAAATGTTTGTGCTGGTTTGTTATGGAGAGTTCTCCATATGCCAGACCAAAACGATAGATGTGATATCTATGAATGTAGCTGGATGTCAGGACAGGATACATGCCTATTTATCAGCAATGAGAAGTTTGTAGGGAAGGTATTTTATTCTTCCCTTGTTTACATAATGCCAATATCCAGAATAGCTATTGGAGCCTGACTCAAAACAGAAATCTTTCCATCAAAGTCAGTGGGCAGAGGATCTGGTCATTATAGAAAAGATGGGGTTCACGCCAAAGGAAAACCAATGTTGTGTGTACCAAGGTTTTGGCTAGCAATTTCTGGGGTGTAAGTTGTCATAACTGTCAATTTTTATTCTCAGACAAATAATAACAAGATAAAATGGAATGAGGTATTCCCATTCTCCTAAAATAATCTGCACCATTAACAGCTTGAGAGAACGTAACTCACTGGCCCTTTCAGTTTCCTAGTTTCGATCCTGAGAAGAAACGGTGTTTTCAAGACCGCAGCATGAGCTCCCTCTAAACTTCCAGCATGTTAAAGGCAGTTTCTGTAAATTACCAGGTCAAATACCACAGGAGCCGTCCTTTGAAGTCCTTTTTGCAAAGTGCTGATTTTGCTCCCCTTAATTAAGCTACTCTGAATACATTGCACCCTTTATAACAGTCCACCTGGAAATACTGCTGCATAAGGCATTTAAAAAGAAGTTGGCTATTAACAAAGAAGTCTCTGCAGTTGTTTCAGACAGGAATCTCCCATATGTAGGTGGGGTAGCTCATAATTTTATATGGCTCACTGGACTCGTGCTGGTCATCTGCCTAGAGGTGACCTTCATTCACTGTGAACTCTAGAACGAAACTCCAAGACAGATGTAATGTCCAAAGGGTTTCAATGCACTATACAACTACAAACTTAGTCACAGGTAAGAATAAAATGTGGGTTTTGAATTGGGAGAGGCCCAAGGGAACATCGACTACAGAAGGCTTCAGTATTTCATTTCAGAAGTGTACAAATCAATGAACTGCAGCGTTCAATCGTTACCATTACACACTCATTCTGTGGCTCTGGAGCTGAAATATATTAGTAGGAGAATATACGTTATTGGTTTAGCTGTCTCTCTCTCTCTCTCTCAAGGAAGGATATTGAAGTAGAGGTGCACTGGTATAATGGTTGCATATCGGATCTGCCCCGGTAAAAGGAAAATTAACATTATTGGCAACTGACTTTTTTTTGGCCAGTGTAGCTGATAATGTCATCAATAAATGCCAGGTGCATTGGTGACAGGGAGCTGCTCTCCACGCTGCCAGGCTGCATTCCTGTAAATCAACTATTGGATTGGTATTAGCTGATATGGCTGGTTAATAAATGGCCATTGGTATCGGCCAAGAAAATCTGTATCGGTGCACCCCTAATATTAAAAACTGCAAGTAGAGAAAGAGGAAATGTCTGAGGAAACAGCAGAACTTGTTTACCATCACGAGCAGTTCAACTGTTATGATTATGTTCTTTCTCACTAGCTTTCTTATCTCTTGGTATCACCTTTAAGGATTTGATTCATTAAATCACAAAATATTAGGGTTGGAAGGGCCCTCAGGAGGTCATCTAGTCCAACCTCCTGTTCAAAGTGGGACCATCCCCAACTAGATTGTCCCAGCCAAGGCTTTGTCTAGCCATGTCTTAAAAACCTCCAAGGATGGACAGTCCACCACCTCTCTGGGTAACCTGTTTCAGTGCTTTACTGCCCACCTTGAGAGAGTTTTTCCTAATATCTAACTTCAACTCCCCTTGTTGCAGCTTGAGACCATTGCTTCTTGCTCTGTCATCTGCTACCACTGAATGCAGTCTGGCTCCGTCCTCTGTGGAACCCCCCTTCAGGTAGTTGAAGACTGCTATTAAATCCTCAGTCTTCTTCGCCAGACTGAATAAGCCCAGGTCCCTTAGCCTTTCCTCAGAAGTCATGTGCCCCAGCCCCCAAACCATTTTTTTTTACCCTTTGCTGGACTCCAATCTGTCCACATCCTTTCTGTAGTGGAGAGCCCAACACTGAACACAATACTCCAGATGTGGCCTCACCCATGCTGAAGAGGAGACTAACAGCATACTGGGCTGCATTAGTAGGAGTGTTGCCCAAAGATCAACAGAAGTGATTAGTTTTCTCTGCAACAAGGGCACACTGTTTGCTCATATTCAGCTTATTGTCCACTGTATCCCCAGCTCCTTTTCTGCAGAGCTGCTGCTTAGCCAGTGGGCTTTCAGCCAATACCAGTGCATGAGATTGCTTTGTCCTAAGTGCATAACTGTGTACTTGTCCTTACCAAACTCCATGAGATTTGTTTTGGTCCAATCCTCCAGTTTGTCGAGGTCTCTCCGAATGCTAGCACTTACCTCTACTCCTCCCAGCTTGGTGTCATCCGCAAACTTCCTGAGGGTGCACACCATCCTGTCTTCCAGATTGTTAATGAAGATATTGAACAAAACCTGCCCTAGGACCAACCACTGGGGCACTCCACTTGACACCAGCTGCCAACTAGACATTAACCCAGATTTGAGCCTGATGACACTACCAGTTTTCTATCCACCTTACAGTCCATTCATCCAGCCTGTATTTCCTCAGCTTGCTTGCAAGAATGTTATGGGAGACTGTATCAAAGCCTTACTAAAGTCAAAGTATATAACATCCTGTGCTCTCCTGGCATCCACAGAGCCAGTCATTTTGTCATAGAAGGCAATCAGGTTGGTCAGGAATGACTGCCCTTATTGAGTCCAGGCTGACTGGTCCTAATCACCTTCTTTCCCATTCCTCACCTTTCCTCTCAGTCTTTGCAGTACCATCCCACTCCACTTTGTAGGCCAAGTGACAATTGTTTCCTAGGTGTCCAACATTCACTAAACTGCACCGTAAGGTCCAATATTCACTAAGCTGTGCTAAGGTGCAGCTTAGTTGCCATTATTACAGCAGAATAAGCCACTAGTTTCCCCAAGAGCACAGTACTGGATTATCCCAAATTCTTATTAAAATCTGGCCATAATATTACAGTGAGAGCTTGTGGGTGCACAGGACAATTGAAAACCTTCAGGTTTTTGGTGGGTTTTCTTCTTTTCGTTTTTGGTACCAAACAAGTGTGGCCCTAAGAGTTCAAGGAAAATGTAAGGATCAAAGTGTAAATTTGTCAAAGATGCAGTTTTTGGATTTTCACACGTTTTGGCATATACCAAAATTACTTACCTCTACGAAAATGAATTTTTTCAATACATCGAGAATTAAGTTGCCCCAGTAAAGATGTAGGCCCTGCAGGGCCAGTAGCTGTCCATTGATGAGGAAATATGCTAGGACTGGAGTTGTGGAGTAATAAAGGGGCAGAATGAGTGTACCATGCAGGATCCTGAAAAACAAATAGCATTGCTATGAAAGAGGAACCCACTCCAAGTACCAGCTGTTCTATTTATAATTTTTCATTCTCAGTCAGTTAGCTAAATCACCTGGCTATTTCCTGAACATACACAAAAAAACCTCTGAAGAGACTAGGAATTTCATCAACAGATCTCAGCTCTACTGAAATATGCATCTTGCTATTAAAAGACAGTTTAGAAGCCAAGGAATTTTAGCTTTGAATGAAAATGGTTTGAAAAGGTTTAGAAATGTTCTATTATTTCCGTATGTGGGGTTTCGTATAGTAGGGTTGTTATAGCCTCATGCCAAAAGCTTGTCTAAAAATCTTTCCCAACTATACAATTAGTCCAAACAAGAGCTTCTAGTATGCCTCAAATGC